ACCAGACACCATGGTTAAAATAGTTTCTGTGACTAACCCAACCTTGTGAAAAAATTGTGACCTGGACATGAGGTTACATAGTGTTTGTGAATTATGGAAGAGGATTAGTGCCACTGTAAAACATTTTATTAGATTTCTGACTTGAATCTTAGAATTCTGAGATTTTAAAGTCAAAACTTTAATATTAAAGTCAAATTCTGACTAAAAAAAAAATCTGAATCCTGAGAAAAGGTCAGACTTATGACTTTAAAATCAAAGTTATGATATTTTACTAAGAATTCTGAGTTTAAAGTCAGAATTCTGAAAGGTACCGCACACAGGTAGCGTCGCGTGTGCTTATGCTTTTTAACTTGTATCAACACTGAGTAAATAGGACAATAAGCATATGCGTCAGTTTGCCACCAGTGTGTGGGCTTTCATTGAAATTAATGCGTATGGGTGTTTTGATGTATGTCAAATGGCGCCTGTAATCTTTTCTCAGAAGTTAGATTTTTTTTTCTCAGAATTCTTAAATGCTGACTTTTAAAAAACTTGGGATTCTGAGAAAAATGTCAAATTTGAGTTTAAAGTTAGAATTCTGAAAAAAGGTCAAAACAAAAAATAAATTTTGTTACGATGGTCTTAATCCTCTTCACTAGTAAATTTTATAATGAGAAAAAAAACTGAAGAAGAGAGATCATGGGTCCTGCTGGTTTTCATTTTAGTTTATTTTTTAATTATTTAACCTTTGTTTTACCAGCACGTCCCATTGAGATCAAGATCGCTTTTTCAAGGGAGACCTGGCAAAGATGGCAGCCATACAATGGACTCTGAATCTTCATTTGTACCTCTGAATGAGCTGACAGAGCAGAAACAGATTTTTCTGCATTAGGAACAACATTAAAAATATTGTGAGCAGATCTTAGGCTGAAAACTGCAATTAAATGTCTGAACTTTTGTTAATTTATTTGCAAATTGCTTTCCTAAATTCAAAGTTAATTTGCATTTTAAGGCAATGTAGTTGGCAGAAATGCATTAAATCCCTGCTAAAAAAAAAATCTATAAATAGACAAACCAGCCAGAGGTAAGATTGTTCAGCGCAGTATGGCCAAACTTATCACCAACTTATCTGACATAAGTGTGGGAGATAGAGTTGGACCCTGAGTTATATTATATTCAATTACAACAATTGCTGAGATAATAAAGCTGAGGCTAGCCAACAGCCATAAAGAATCACCTTCAAGTCAAGGTTAATTGACAAAACTGATAAAACTAATTTCACGGTAACATATGACTGAGTTAAATACTGTAACACTACCTGCCCAATGTGGAGCTTTAATTTTATCACCCTACAAATACTACTGTACATTTATGTAGCTGGAGATCTCCACAGAATTTTACATAATCCATATACTGTATACATAATTTATTATACATTTTCACAGTAACTATTTGCTTAAAATCTCAATTTTCAAATTGTCCTCATTATTCTGAAAAGACAATTGCTCTAGATTGATTTTTGAATCTAATAAGAGCCTGTGTTTTTGGCCTGGGATACCAGAGGTTATCATGCTGTCTGCACTGGGAGCTGTCATCAGACTGACTTCATATTCTGTCCAGGTCACACAGAGAGGGCCATGCTCTACCATGAGCTGGAGGACGGCATGTATTCGGTCACCTCCTACTTCTTTGCCAAGGTAAAGCACAGTCTAAAACTGCGTGTCCAGCAGGGGTCAGCCTCACTCCATGTTGGAGTCGCACTACAGTGTAACATACAGTACAGGAATGTGGGATTGGAAGGCACAGGGAAACATGATATACATACTGTTTGTCTGCATTGCAAACCCACCAGTCAGGATCAGCACTGAATATATATATGTGTGTGTGTGTGTGTGTGTGTGTGTGTCTTTCTGCATCTTTACCTGTTCTGTACATTTGAATGTAGGTCCTGGGGGAGTTACCAGAGCACTGTGTGTTCACCTTGGTCTACGGTCTGCCCATTTATTGGCTGGCTGGGCTCAATGAGGCTCCGGACCGTTTTCTGCTCCACTTCACACTGGCATGGCTGATGGTCTACTGCAGCCGAGCCATGGCTCTGTTTGTAGCTGCTTCTCTGCCCACCCTGCAGATCTCAGCCTTCATGGGCAACTCCTTGTTTACTGTGTTCTATCTGACTGGAGGATTTGTCATCAGCCTGGAGAATATGTGGCTTGGTGAGGAGAGAGATATAACACAGCAAGTGTGCACAGCTGGGAGAAAAATGATCCTGTAAGTTTGTAATGTTTATACCTGCCCGTGTTTTTAACTCTCCAGTGGCGTCGTGGCTCTCTCATGCCTCCTTCATGCGCTGGGGTTTTGAAGGCATGCTACAGGTGCAGTTCAAAGGAAACAAGTACCCCGTTAGCATCGGAAACTTCACAATCAGTGTTGACGGGATATATGTAAGTTTAAAAAAGCACACACATAGACTAATTTCAGCTAAAAACCACGTTAGAATCCTAGTCTCCCAATATATTTCATATTAATGAATTAGAGATTAGGTTATCTCTCAGGGTCCTGGTTTTTGAGATAGTACTCAGCTAGTATTGTACATGCACAAACAGACATCTTTTCTCACCTTTTGTGTTTGTCTCTCAGGTGGTGGAGGCCATGAACATGAACCAGTACCCTCTGTTCTCATGCTATCTGGTCCTGCTGGCAGTCTGTCTGGTCTTCATGGTGCTCTATTTCTTGTGCCTAAAATTCATCAAACAGAAGTCCAGTCAAGACTGGTGAGCACATCTGGACAGTCAGACCAAACAGTATCTGGTCAGTGGATGGAAGTCATTTTTGGGTTCACTGGGTTCTAGTTCTACACCAAGCTTTGCACTGTTTCTTCTACTGCTTTTATTCAGATGTTTTACACTGAAAAGTGCTTAATTCAGGGGATTAAAAAAAATGCATATTTCAAATTTACATTTTCACATTAATATGAAAAACTCCACTCTTTTTAATGGTAGAAGGACATGAAATAACCAGGCAGGTACCTCATCATAACATGCATAAAAGTACTGCAGTTCCTCTCATATTTAACCTGTTGAAACAATATAAATACATACCCTTTTTTTTTTTTTTACAATTTAACTAATAGTTAATAGTCCAACTAATAGTTGGACAAAAGAGTTGTACTCACTTTGTGCTTGAAGAAGCACTTGTTGCAGTACTGCTGTCTGCTGCTGGATGGCAGCAGAGCACTGCACTAACAGAAAATGGTTTTCCTCTGGTCTCTGTCTTGGCCTGTGATTAGAGCGTCACTTTGGCAGATATCCATCTGCAGCTTTTGCTTGTTCCATTTTTAATCTTCTTTTTTCTACAGCTTTATTTTTTTTTTGTGTATGTAAGGTTATTAAGCTTAACAATGTGTGTGCCTGTGTAGAGGGCACTGAAAAAAAGCCTAGTAGAGAGTTAGTAAGTCCCACTCGGGAAAAAAAGTGTGTACTTGTTGTATCCTCAAAGATTGAAGATTATGTAAGATGTGTTTTTGCACTGGTGCAAAAGCCTGATAAATATTTCCCTTACATGGTTCAAGTCCAAATTAGTAAAGTATTAAATCAAACTGCTCCACGTGCTCCATGTGTTTATTTTCATTATTCAGTGTGTTTTTACATAACAAAGAATATTGTTGATAATGTGATTGTTTTCAATGATTATCCTTCACATTCTGGTTCTAAAGAGAGTACTATAATGATAAGCTCAGACGTTTCTATTTATAAACACATTTTCCCCAATAATTTGTATCCCAAACAAGCTCCTGACTCTCTGTCAGCTAATATGCAATCTTCTCGTGTCCCACAACCAGTGTGTTATCGAAGGCCTGCTGCCTCAGTCAGGGTCCAGAACCACTTGTGTTACATGAAACAGGAGCAAAGGAGTTCAAAGCCAAGCAGAGGAAAGCTGCAGACACAGGTTGTGGGACGCGAGAGAAGAGTCTGAGTGGCAGGAGGCTTCAACAAACAAATTGATCACCTCTATAAGAAGATATTCCATAAAATGAAGGAATTCTGGCGATTTACAAATAGCCCTCACATTTGCTTCGAGGAGAGTTTGGTGAAATTTCTGGAATCAAAATCAAAAACCGTTCATCCTATCACAGTAACAAGGGCAGTTTCTGATTCCTCACAATTTTCTCTACCGTTTTCATGTATATTTGGTGTGTGGAAGCTTAAGGTTGGCAGAATGAGAGCAGAAAGCAAGCTTTTTACAAAAATTGTAAAAAGGCTGAAGGACAGAGCTAGAGTGTGAGTGATGTCACCCACTCCAGTTCATCCTCTCCATTCAAATGAATGGAATGTAATGTGTGCGTATTGAACGGGTAGCATAGCTAGGTGGTTAACACCACAGATTTTGGTACAGCAGGATCGAGGTTCAGGGCGCGAATTCCAGCTGTGGATCCTTAGGCCTAGCGAAGTACAACACTAATGCCAGAGTGCACATTCATCATCTTGGATAAGCAACGATGGGTAGATCCCAGTATGTCAACATGTTCCTGCTCAACCCAACAGACCACCTCCTTGGCTGAGCTGGAGATCATGATAGCAAGTAATGCCCAGTGCGCTTATCTTAAAAGTCGCTGTGTACAAGTTGAAAATTTCCACACCTGTTGAATTCAGTCTTCATTAGTTCATCATTCAGTTCATCATTAGTTGGAGAATCAGGCTGTGGTGGAGCAGGAAAAATAATAAATGCAAAATCGTCATGAGAATGCAGACAGCAGTCGATGAGATTGATACAGGTGTATGGTTTCTTGTAAGATGACTTGCAGAATAAAGAACTTTTAAATAGTATTTTTGTGTGTCTTTGCCAGGAAACGTAAACTGCTCCTAACATTCAGTACTATCCTATGTTGACTGAAAATAATGGGATGGATACATCGCTCAGTTCTGATCTCTTAGATATAAACTATATTTGACAATGTGTGATAAGCTGCATTGCTAGACTTGCCAAAGCAGCTGAAAACTGTAAATTCTTACATTTATCTCTGTACAGTATTTACTTGAAACCTCTCTTTAGTCATACAAATTATTAGTGGTTTTAGACTTTATTTAAAAAAAATGGTAGGAATAAGCCACAGTTTTGCCTGAAAGCCTAAAACATGTCTTGTAACTTTTCTTTTTCCTGTTCCTTCTCCTCAGCACACAGTAAGGCTGCCCTTTAGTGGTGGCACACAGCATTACACCAATCTTAACAAGTGTGACCCATTAGTGCCTGCTAATCAAATTAATGGCAATTTAATGGTACAAATAGCAATGTATGTACATGGTCACAATTTTCGAGCATGTGTAGAAAAGAGTTGTATGTAAAAACGTTTTTAAAAGTATGAATAAAATCTGTAAACAAATTGTGTTACACAAAGACACTGACGGCAGCAAATTGCACATACAGCTCAATTTAGGAGTACTGAGGTTTAGTGTGAATCACACCTGAATCTGATTGGACGGTGACAATCCAATCACAGAGCAGAGTTAAATTGTCCAATCAGGTGGTAGCTGAGTTCTTCAAGTTAGTCTCCGGTGGTAGCTCTGTAAGTTTGGTTGTAGTCGAGATGTAAGGCAGCAGCAGCAGTTCTGCAACTCAGGTGGGTCACATTAGAAAATAAAAGAAAATCACAGTAAACATTCCATGTATCTGTATGTAGGCAGCGCGCAGGTGCTTCGCTGTTAACACAGTTGTCCACATTTATGTTTTCTATTCCAGGTGGGATACTTTATCTAGCGTTAGCCGAATGCTAATGTAGGACGTTAGCAAACCTCTGCTAGCAAGAAAATTTTCAAGGGTAATGTTGGCCTTGGAGTACTCTGTTGCTTTGCGTGAGTCAGTCAGTTGTCAGGCTAATTGTAAAACCTGCTCAGTCTAGGGGACATTTCTTAAGAGTTGACTTGTAATTTATTCCGTGTTGGATGTGCAGTCTTGTAGATGAAAGAACTCTTCTTGGTTGACATGCCCCATTAATGTAAACGTCTTTTATATTTAATATTAATGGTGCAGTTCAGTTAAAAACCCCGGCCGGTTTGGACCTCACGGGGTCATCAGCAGGGAGACTTAACAAATTGTTTGCACCTGTATGTTTCCGCCCCGATGAAGACCTGGTGAGGTCCAAACCGGTCGGCATCTTTTTACTGAGATGCCCTGTTAAGGTAAGAGTGTTGCTTAAATAATAGTGCAAAGGCTTTAGCAGCTAAATATATCAGTTACCAAAAGTCACTGCAGAATAATAGAATGCATTTCACGTTAATGCATATTATTTGATTATAAGTTCTGGTGCAGTAATGTGTTCATTTTATTGTTGTAGCTGGTAAAGGTAGGGATAATTTTAACTGTTGAAATTTGAACTTCTGGTGAGTAGCTTGTAAATTTCTCACCAGAGCTTAATGAAGTCTCATTATTAGGCTTATAATGTAACTGTAAATACCTTTTCCTGCATGTTTGATTTTTATGAAACGTGTTAAGTTTGTACAGGTTTCTGTGATCAGAGTAATTGTTATAACTAGGACAGACATTATAGGACTAACTCCCCCATGTGTCTTTCAATAGGACATGGACAAGAATATGGCACTTGCTGTGAGGAGGACAGACAGCATTCTGGGCCCCTGTCACTCCTACATATGGACATCAACTGCAAGTTGATGAGGTGAGAAACATTCTAAAGTTGTGGTGGTTCAAGTCAGGGTACTGTACTAGCACTGATAGGTTCAGGTCAGACTGTAATTTCTCTTTTTTCCTGACGCATCTCCAAAGTGCTTGAGCAACTTTTATATAAATTGTAATGAAAATTCTCAACATGGAGCACAATGTAATTGAATACATTTCATTCTTTGCTCCAGTCTGACATATGTTTTAAGACAGCTGTAAGGTGTGCATATTAGCATCTGTATCCACCACGTTTCTACACAGGGTCAGTAGGATAATGACGCTTGAGTAAAAACTGTTCTGTAATGTTTATGGCAAACACTGCCATAACAGTGGTTGAACTTCAGTGCCATCAAGTGAAATACAGCAAATAGTTCTTTTAAATTCACTGCGGATAAACTTGTAAGCAGATCTGAGTTAACTTGTCACAGGTTCTGGAGTTCCTGATGCTGTAAAGAAGCCTGCCTTAACATGTTATGAAGCTCAATGTTTTTGGTGAGATTGTCTTAAATGTATAAATTCAGTTATAGGTGGTGTACTGGACTACATTATGTTCTTAATATTCTGAACATAATTGAGGCTACACATTTAACAGTCCTACTAAAAATTGAGTTTCATAAACTAAAGTGTTGAATTTTATAGGAGCAGGTTAAAACAATTCTAAGTTAAACTTTATAGTAAGTCTGCTTTTCAGTTAAAGCTGAACACTGTAGAATTGCATACTGGAGTGTTCTCTGCAGTTATGGTTTGGTGATGAAAACTGGGAAGACTTCCTGTTAACCCTCATGAGGACAGTGTAGTAACTTGTTCCTATATATTTTAATATTTTTTTGTACTTTATGGCCTGTAGAAACCATCTCCCACACAGTACCCTCCTTCCTAAAACATCAAGTTCAGGGTCAAGATGGAATACAGTGCCTGACATCTTAGATGTTGAGAAGCAGAACCAGACAGTTTGTCACAACAGCTTTATTTAAAAAAAAAAAAAAAAAAAAAAACCCCAATTTACAAATTTTTTCAGCGCCTTTATTACAAATCTTTTTTTTTGCAGCTACACAATCAGCTCAGCCAGCTGCTGGAGTTTTGGGTAAGATGGGAAATCCTACTGGTGGGGTCATGAAATTGGAGTACCTCACATCTTCTGCATATGCCTGGACCACAGTTGCGAAGATTTCTCTTGTAGTTACATGACTAGAGTCTTCACAACTGTGGTCCAGGCACATGCAGTTGTAACAGCATGGACAAAATGTGAGGTACTCTGCTTTGACCCCACCAGATGATTGTCCACAGAATGACATCTGGTTCAGGATTGCTTAAGGGAGAAATGGAAAAAGCTTGAGTTTTAAGCATGATATGCTCCAATTTCACTTTGAGAAGCTATCCCCAGCAATAAGAATGATGCAACACGTCACAATGGTCTGAACAGTTACCATCTGGAGGTTTGTAATAAATAGTGTACACACCTATTCAAAGGATGGTTAGTCCTACTGTTGTGCATGTTGCCAGAGTAAGCAAGGGAACATGAGTAAAAGTACTAGTACATGGATGAGAAAGCCTGTAATGCAATTAAAAGCTCTACAAAACTTGGTGAATCCACCTCAAGTGAGATCAGCGTCACCTACCTTCATGCATGAAGAACAAAGACATCCTTCATACAATAAACCACCACCCCATACACTGCATCCTAAAAATGCCTGCCTAGAGCATCCATGTATGAAGTTAACCACTGTTCTTGTTCTGGTGAACTTACCCCTCCACAGCTTAAAGGGGTAAATGTCAATTTGTAAGGGAGGGAAGGGAAAACAAAGCATGCGTGTGGGCATCTTGTGTAGCCAACAGGATCCTCTGGCCACTGCCGCCTTGAATGTAGAACAGGAGAAGACGACTGTCAAATGTAGATGTGAAAGATTACAATGAAAACAAAATGTCATTAGAAAAGCACACCCTTGGTAATACACACAATCCTGTAAAACTACATATTTTTGTAATGTCATGTATCCATTGTCTGTTAGAAATAACCCAATTCTTTTGCAAGACAAAGACAGGAGATGACCGTTTAAAAACAAAGTTTACTCAAAGTCTGGGGACAGGTGAAGTCTTACAGCGCTGGGGACAGGTGAAGTCTTACAGCGCTGGGATCAGAGCGACAGATCCTGCAGGAAATCCGTTCTCTGAACCAGGAGTTAGGTTTTCACGATACATTTATCTTCTTGGGCTGGTCCGCCCTGGACAGAGGTACAACATTCAATCCTATTGGTCATTTGACATGGTCAACCCCTGCCTGCGCCTGCTTGCTGAAATGTGATCTAAACCAGGTGTGTACATTGTGATGCGATTTTCCAGGCAGCAGCTAATTAATGAACACGCAATGGGTTGTCTGCACTGCAGACCCCCCTATCCAAGTAATCTATTACAGGACAAAGCAGGACCAGGTGGAGGTTCAAAACAGGCCTATCTGGTTACCTGAATACACAGACACCATGTCTACACAGAAGTTAAAGTAGGCAGTTTCTACTTCAGTATCACTTAAGTCTCATCAATAAAATTGTAAGATATATGCAAGGAAAATAAATGTATTAAAGTAACCAAGGCTCAGTAGTTCTGGACAATCACAATACGGTTTTAATATGTATAAGCAAGGAAAGTAAAGATATGAAAAAATAGAAAACTGAAAACTAACGAAGAATTAATTCTTACACTCCCATGTCTGGACTTGTTTTTCAGTGCGTTTCAATAAGAACATCCCTATAGCATTTGCTACACAATAAAGTGAATTCACCTCATTACTACAAGATTCCATTACTTGCAGCTTTATACAAGTCATCCAGTTTTCATTTCTGGATACTCAAATCTAGATTGACATGAAATTCTCCATTGTTAACAGGACACTATTCTTTAACGAGGAGTTACTGATTGATGTCATTAAATCCTGCTGATATTTTGATTATGAGCTTAATTTAAACAGGCTTTTCGGGCCGTTCATTAATGACTAGCTGATGGTTTGTCTGGACTTTAAAGGGAGCCAACAGGGTGACTAGTTACCGCCAAGTCATGGCAAATTTTCCTAGAAACAAGTTTAACTTGTAACCTCGTTGTTTAAACGAACACGCTAAAGCAAACAATAGTATACCGGAAGGCTAGGCGCACATGGAGCCAATTACAGGACACACGCCTAGCTCGCGTTCAGCTCGAGAAGCTTCTTGCTAGCAGAGTTTTGCTAACATTACACGCCAACATTAAACTCTGGATAAAATGGCCTATATGAACTCGACATTATACATTTATTCAACTGCTTTACCCCAGAGTAACCGCTAAGCATATAGACAGAACGATACACATTAAAACTAAAATGCAACAGATCAACCTCATCATCAGAGCCGTGTGCGTCCATGACCCGGTCACCACTTCACCGTCTGTCCTTCCTTAGACTCTGTTGTCTTGCTGCCTTATATACCCCACCCATTGACAGGTGGCTGTAACGAGCTCATCAGTGTGATTCACCTCACCTGTCAGCAGTGATGGGCCTCTGACACCTGAGGCAGCATCAAATCACTGTGCCGAGGCATGGCTTGGTCACGTGACTGGTGACGTTTGACGCACGTTACCTCTTCATTCGGTATTGAAACCCCATCACTGGTTTGCTTGTCTTGGCTCTTTGGGAGAGTTGAGCTGAGCTTTTGAAGCAAATAGATACTGAGTCGATAAAGATTTGGTTTGACAGTGTCGCCTAAAGTACTAAAGATTCTATAACATTACTAAACCATGATACTCGGAGCAAATGAAATCAGTTGATGTAGGCGCTGTAACATGCGCATTGGTGAGAGTTGATAAAGGATCATGGAGTGTAGTTGCTGTAACATGCGACCACGAAGTAATGTGACAGGAGTTTGTGGTGTATCATGAAAACCACAGTCTTGTAATAATCTAGTGTGGGTTCGATTCCCGACAGAGCTGAGTGTTACTTAGCTCATCAATTAAACGTTTGACATGAGATCACATTTGCTGTCCAGCCTACTGAACATCCACTATTCAACATCTTTTAAGCAATAGGCTATTTAGAATTGATTTAGGATAGAATATGATTCATAGCATGTTTCCAGTACTGTACCGGAAACAAATGTCTTGTATGTAACATGCTTGGCGAAATAAAGTGATTATGCCTATTATCCTAAATGTCAGGCTAAGTATATAGCTATAGCCTACTACATTCAGACGTGCCAAATAAGAATAACATTTTATATATTATGTGAGATTTAAACCATACAACCGTGTATTGTAATCGAACAGTAATGTGCATGGTGAATCAAATCCCAAACAATCCAATAAATGACATGTTTTGATTGCACTTCATTTTATTGACCACTACTCAAGCACTGTGTCATTGAAGCCTCAAGTAATGAACCGTTTTTTGAATACTGTATCGAAGCTTCCACAAAGCCCCAATTACCCATCATTACCTGTCAGTGGCCATAATGTTATGGCTGATCAGTGGATATGTCAATAGAATTCATACTGGTAATGTGAGCTGCACTGCAATTTTCTGCATTCTATCAGTATTATTTCCCTACCAACATACATACTTTTTGCATAATGGTATCTATTTGGTAACAATTTGAACATGCAGTTTTTGTAAAATCAGTCCCCTCATTAAAATGTGCATTTATGCAAATTCCTATCAGACAGTTATTGTGTGGATACTGAGCGAGCAGCATCCACACAATAACTGTTACATGACACCTCAAAAAACAAAGGTGTATAATACAGTATACAGTATATAGGGTATACAATATACTGTGTGTACAGAGCGCAGGGTAGAGTTGACACTAATTGCGTAGCATCTTAGCAACAAAAGCACAAGTGTAATTGAGCCCCTGTTAATGACATTAGTTTCAACAGTGCTTTACGTGTTGTCCTGAAAACAGGTCAACAGTACAACTACACACCGTTGAAACCACAGACAGATCCAGGCACAGACCGTGGCTTCTTAACATCGTTTATTAACATAAATATTTCTGTACATCCTCAACTCATGATCAACGTTATCAGTGTCGCAGTAGGCAGTCTAATACCCAACACTCAGCACAAATACTACTCAACATTTTGGCTCAAACATCTTGTATAAAAAAAGAAAAAAAAGACACAAAAGAAGAAAACAGTGGGATTTGGGTGGAGATAAGAGGAGATGAGGATGAATCTTTATTTCTCCGCTGTCATCTCAGTGTTAGCGGTTTTCTCTTTCAGCTTGTCTGCGTAGAACTTAAAGGACTCCTGGAAAGAGAAACAAGGACGACTGTGCATCAAACATATTCCAGACAAACTATACATAAGTTCACCTTCCTTACAGTCTGTTTCCATCTCGCCTCTTTCCAAAAGCAAGTAGCAGCGGCGGAGTACCTCCCGGGTTTGTCTAAATAGCCTGTCTGGTTTCATCTTTAAATCCCCATTAATACATAAATAAGGGATTTGTAGTACACTCCCTGAACACGCACTTTTTGCCTCTGTTCCTGGCTAATTAATTGATGCTTTGATCCAGACAAAGTGTTGTGGTGGGTGTGTTTTGGCGGGGGGAGAAGGTGAGAGAGCTTGTTAGATTACGCCAGCTCCTTACAATGTGCATTTGCTTATTAATGCTGTTAAATAGCTCTGTACACTATAAGAGAGAAGCACAGAGGCTTTGAGACTTATGAGTTCACCGAAATGGCAAAAGTACGTTTTCTCTAGTTTTACTTTGTTTAGATTTTGATTTTATGTGTCTGAGATTTGAGCCTCCATCAAAACATAGTGGAGCTGGTTTTCCTTCCAGAAACAGTGCCCCCATCACACTGGATAATCCACACATCTCACACAGTGACTACATTCTACTGAAGAAAGTCTCTGAAAACTGTTGACAGTGTGGTCTGTGGATTATCCTGAGTAAGAGGAACACTGGGTTTGGAGCAGCAACATTCTAATTTCGGTAGGTAGGTACTTTACTTTAAATTTCAAGATGTTACGTTTTCCAAATCAAATTCGGCAACCTTCCTTAACACAAAAAACTTCTCAGTTCAAACTCATAAACGTAAAAGATGCACTGACTGACTGGAAATCAGAATTGACCGGTTTTTAGCTCGATGGGCTGATCATTCTGCTATTTGATTCCGTGCCGGTCAAATTTACACGCATGATGGTTCACGTGGTGCACACAGCAGCACAGACTGAAAGCTTAGCGTGTGCAGTGTGTAACATCTCGCATGCACCTCATGCTAGGCCCACGCTTTTATGTCAAATGTGCTTTTCCCGTAGTAAAGAAAGGCCACTTGTACACTGCGTAAAAAATTCTAAATACAAAACAATCACTCGTATAAGCTGCTCACTTCTCTCACTATCCCCTTTAACTAAGCCCGGTACTTTAAAACAGGTTAGTGCTTCCCACAGTAGGCTAATGTGGTACAGAGCCAAAGGCATTATCTAGATCTAAGAACACCACATGCAGGTTAGAATTAGGTTTAGGCAAGACATTTAGTTCCAGTGGTTAAGATCAGGGGAAGGAGCTATGGAATGCATTATGCCAATGAGTGTCCTCACAACGATAGAAGTACAAGTGTGTGTAACTCACAGGAGGCTCAGGGAAGGGCGCCAGCTCTCCAGCGCTGCGGTAAAGCACAGCCAGCCGTTTGAGTGACAGCTCGTCTACAGCTACCCCCTCCTTCTCCATCTGCTCATGCAGAGCCTTGGCTGACGATAAGTCCTTATCCAGAACTAGTAGACGAGGAGGGAGAGACAGGAAAAGTCAGAAAACGAGGGGGGAAAAAACCTCAGCATGTTAAATTCTCATTTGAATGAGAAAAAATGTGTGTAAGAGATAAAAATTAAGCATGTTTATTGTTGGTGGGATAATCCCGGTATTTTCCACCCCTCACAGACACCTGTGATCAATTCACTGGCATCAAGAAGTGATACCTTAAAAGCACAAATGTGTAAATGTGTAGATGACTGTCTTTCACCAACTGTGACACTAATGACAGGAAAGGGAAAAGATTCACCGACTCAAATTAAAACTCACCGATTTGACTGCTGTGAAAGAACTGTTACATTTTACTTTGGAGAATAATACAGTTAGCAAGAAATACCTGGCCAGTAAAATGATCTTTTATACACATTTAAAAAACAAATTATTATAAAATTATGAAGGTAACTTTCTGTATATTACCTCCCTCTGCATGTAAACATGCGAGTGCACTCATTTGTATACACCGGTGAAAAGAAAAAGAGAAGGACAAGAGGAAAACCAAACCATTGAAGATAATTTAAATAAAATACATAAACAGTGCAGAGAACAGAAGCAAGCGGAGCATCATTAACTGTGTCCCTGTGGCTGCCTCAGCCGACCAGCTAATGCTAATGAAATGTCTGCTTGTCTCTGGTGTAGCGAGGAACTAAAGAGGGGAAGTGGGAGGGTGAGACGGAGCCAGGACAGCTAGCTCATTAGAGGACATACGTTCCTCTGCTGACTTAGCCGCAGGCCAACGCGCCGCTTGCTGCTCCACAGGATCCAAACAGGCGGGTGTGTTTCTGTGTCTTACCGTGACATTTCATCAGGTATGGATACAGCACCTCCTTCTCAGTGAAGTCTGGAATCAGACTCAGCAGGGTCTTGATCCTGCCCACCTGTGCACACAAAGATGAGTTTACATACGAACACAGCCCTGGGATTCACTTGTACTGACTGGCTCAAAACTGCAATGACCACAGAAGGAGAAATATGGGCATGTACACATTTACTATACAAGTTTAAAAAAAAAAACAACACACGAAATAGACACAAAATGAGCTTAGATGAATCGTTAAACATATGGATAAAATAAAGCTATTAATAGTGTACAGTTTGTCCAGATGTATGTAAAGAACTATTTTTACACTTTGACCAATTACTCTTTTTCATATAGTCCATAAACAGTCCCCACGTCTTTTCAAGGCCTTTGGATTTATCTTTAATGCATCTTATTTTTCCCATTTATGTACTTAATTTGTAGAAATTTAGCTTGTCCAGTTTATAAAGGAAAGTTACATATACACAATGGCCACACCACAGTAAATGTATTGATTTTACTAAGGAGAATTCCCATTCCAGTTCAAATTTTTATTTTATATCTCTGGCCATTGTTTATATCATCAAGGATAAAGTTGTACTCACAAACGTAACTCCAGAAACTTTATTATTATTACTGATAAGAAATAATAAACCAAAACAAGAAACAAACTTATTTAAAAATGTAAGTGTGTGATTTTACCTGTCCGGGACTCTGAGACTTTCGGGTCATGTAGGACACCAGCGCCTGCTTCTGCTCAGCCAGAGCGGAGCAGCGCTACGGCGAGAGAAAAGGCACAAGAGAGAGGCAAAAAAAAAAAAAAGAAGTCAAGAACTCTCTCAGGCCTGCGCTCTTCAAATACATACAGTGTTGAAACACCTGCACACCCATGCGCAGGATAAAGGCTAATGATGGATGAAACTATTTGTTTCTTATTACTTTAAATGTATGGCGCCGTGCACATCAAAGAGCACAATCATCACTTAATAACATATGTGTTAATAATCAGTGAAAATGTAAGTGCAGCCTTACAGTGTGAAGACAGAAACTAAATATGTGTGATAAGCAAAGTATAGCTGATATGGCAGCATGAGTGGGAAGCAGTGTGGCGTTTGAGCTGCAGAGGAATCCCTATGCATTCACCCTCAGCGACAGAGCCTGACTCAGTACTGGCAGTGGTGCCGATTACAAAATGAGCAAGTGCAGCGCATTAACTATGATATACATCCAATTCTGACAAGAATATAGAAATACATGCACTTCGTGAACAATTTCGGACACATCAAGACATCTGTGGCTTTGCATACACACAATACTGTAACTGTGTGTATTTAAAGTGTATGTCAGACACATTAATATCGCTGCACTCCAAGTGTGCACGGTCTTAGCTGAGTAGCAATGAGGTGCGATTACTAGCCAGTCATAAACTAACGAGTCTCACTCCCTCTCCACCTCCTACAGAATTAAAAGCAAGCGGCCTGTGAGGCTTTTAAACAGGGCGGTGCACGCACACCACGTGCTGCCTTCTGTCGCAGTCACTAAGTGGCAGAATGGCTTTAGTACAATCAGGCAATTAGACCAACACTGTGCCACTTCACTTAACTTCGGTCTGTGCTCTCACTCACTCTCTGCTGTTTTTTTCTCCCTCACTACACGGACCGCTCCCAAAGGCGGCGCCACAACCTACTGGCCTACCATCTCCCCTGTACCTCACATACGCTGCCTAAAAGCTCAAGACACCCAGAGCGTGTGTTGTGTGCGCGTCGCCCTGGTTCCCCTTTCCCTCAATGACTCCCCTGTGTACAGCGCCTGTCTCACCGCTTCACATCCAACTTCAACCCTCTGGCTCTCCACCGACCTCACGCCCTTCTCTCCTGATAGCCTTGTCATCATTATTGTCTGCTCGCCTACTTAAAAGCTTTTCAGAGTTTTGTTCTGGCTTCACTTCTGATGGGGATGCAGAAGTCGGGCTGCTACCCTCCAGTGACCCAGGAAGAGCAGCTTTGAGGGGGAGTCGGGAAGATGAGCACACCAGTGTAGCCCGGGTCACATCAGGCTCAACACTTTGAACACGAGGACAAATGGGCGAACAAGTTTTAGATTAGTCTTTAGCCTATTTTAGGTTCCACTCACCAATAAAACACCAAATACCCACCTCCCCCTCTCTACACTAACCGCACACGATTTTCAGGAAGTACTACAATTTGGAAAAGCACTTGCTGTTTTATTGCATATTACAATAAGATTTCAGAATATAATGCTGTGAATTTACCATCCTGTGGCTGCATTATCACAGCAGTAACTGTTATGTTCCTTCTGCTTGTTCAAAAAGTACCTTGGCTTTTACAGCAGAATTATGACACATGAGATTTTAATATCGATCTAATTGTCCAAAACCACAAATGTAGTTTTGGGTGAAGATGAGAGCAGCTAACAATTGCATGATGGGATCATAATAGGACCTAAAAATAAAGCAAGACTCTTTTAGTTCAGGTTTAGATAACGATTCACGTGCAGTGAGTGAGGGTGACACGTTAGACCTGCTCACTCTCAGTCACACATGCAACTCAGTGACTGAACTGAGGGAAATAAACACAGTTACACCGGAGGAGGGAACATGTGGAAAGCTATGGCTTGTTTTCCTTGATTTCTTTTGCTGCCCCATCTTCTCCATCCATCTTCTTGTCTCTCACCCATCTGGCTTCTACATATTCATGTCCCCAGGCTCAATGCAGAGTCATCGAGCTGTAATATATGAACGGTGCTAAATAAGTGAAGTAGACGGAGGCCCATTTCAAACCACCAGACTCGGTAGTGGAATGTGGGCAGGAGTTTCCTCACACAAATGTGAGGCCAGATGAATAAGTCAGCAGCTGTGGTGGAAGAACGTCTCCACCATCCGTCCGGTCTGACAAGTGCATCGGGGAGCTGTGGTCTGAATTCATCACCAGGTCCCAGGTTGATTTTATTTTATTTTATTTTTTACCTCAGTGCATCGAAGCACAAGACACTTAAATGGAGACAAAAATGCTCCATATGATTTTAAATGCATTTAAAGTGGCCACAAAGAGTTTAATTAATAAACAAATAAATAAATAAATACGAGCAACCTGGACTTGGCCATTTGAAACTACAAATTACACTCAGCTGCATTTCTCACAACTGTAGACTGTTGTATTTGATGCAGAGATGTTTTTTTTTTTATTATTTTCTTGTAAAATTCAAGTTTAGATTCATTCAGAAGCAAACTGTGGTTTTCCTCTAGTAAGATATTTCGTTTCTTTCTAAGCTCAAGGAGAGAAGCAACCGCCAACATGATAAGCAACTGTCAACATGAAAGCTGTGGACGGAGTTTAAATGTGATGAAGAGACAAAAGCAAGAGCAGCAAGCAACAGAGTTAATGCCAAGGTGCAGTGAAGCTGTTCTGGTGGCTCAGCATCTTACTCAGACACTTTATGTTGGGTTTTCCTTTTGTTTGTCACCCGTCTGCATGAATACTAGAGAATTTCCACCAATATTAACAATGTACATTTCATCTCAGCCTCTGTGGACCACAACCAAACATCTGAAACCTGATACACACACACACACACACTTCAGATTACGCCTACACACAACTGTCACTGATTTAGGATTAAAGCTGTTGGGCGCCTGCGCATACACATGCACACACTCATACTTACAGCCAGCATGGACTTGGCATCCTCAACTTTGTCATTATCCAGCAGCTGGAGGAAGAGGTCTGAAGCTGGTCTGTAGCAGTCAAAGTGGTTGGCTAGTCGCTCGGCCATAGCGCTCACTGCAACACAACGTGTTATCTTCAGTCATTCTTATACTCAGTCCTTTTGTCTGTCGTCTTTATGTGTGGATTTTGTGTTTGTCTTACACTTGTCTAAGGCTTTCTCATTGCCATCTTCCAAGACCCTTCTGAAGACAAAGGACATATTGGGGCTTGTGCTGTCTGGGCTGGTGTAGACTGCCTCCAACACCTCTACCGCTGAGTCCATGTCACCGCTGTGGGGAGAATTAATGGGCGGGAGGGAAAGAAAGGGTTAAGTTATGACAGATCAAAACTACACCCCCAAATCTGTACGTGTTTAACCTTCAAAGAGATCAATGGAAAAGACGAAGCACATTCTGACACAAAGCTCCATCATCAACTTTCTGGGAGAGGAACATACACAATATATACAGAAACACAATTTAAACTACAATACGATTTGCTCACGTCGTTTTTAGTGTAATATTAAAATGATATTAGTTTTATTTTCTTGTCCTTTGCAGCCTCCCACTGAGTGCAGAGAAACTCATTCTTCCACTGATACTCACTCATACTGCGAAATGGTTTTCTGCTGATGTTGCTGCAAACAAACAAATCTCACACACCAAAGCACTACAAATCTAAAACTACTCACTCTGGCAGCCCGGCCTCACAGCTGACACATTAGGCCCCCTGTATCCTCCCCGTCATCACTGGTAGTAATGAATATTTAACAAATGGTGTGTGTGTGTGTGTGTGTCTTTGGATATGTACACATGTGAGAGAACATATCTGCGCTGATTGTTGCGACTGGGACCGTCTGAATAATTCAGCGGGGAGTCCCTCTAAATGTGGTGCTCCGCGTACCAGGCCTGCTCGCTTCTCCGCCCTGGCTCTTAACCAGTCAGCCTGACTCAGATACAGCGGGGATGCATGTGTCAGAGTTGCTCAGAGCGCAGCTCCCACAGGTCAGGGTTCAACCTGACAGGCCCACACTACGATGGCCAATCAGGCGTGAGACCATCTTGCTATTCTTCACTTCCTGTTGTCCCTCTGAGCCAGAATGGGGACGTTCCGCTCAAGCTGGGGTCTGGCGCTAATGCGATAAGTAGCATGATGAAAGTTTGATGCAAGTGCGTTTTATATTTTTGTTTGAAAAGGAGTCCATAAATAACCTTATTATGCCCGTGTTTCCTATTTGTACTTAACACCCCTCTCGTCTTGTAAGATTTTACTTTAAGGGGGTGTCAAGCTGGGTCTCGTCACACTGTGCTGCTGGTCTTGTTCCTCTCTGTGTGCTGCACAGCAGTACCCACAGAGTTTACAAAAGTAGGAAATGATTGGACTGTAAAGTGCAACATACAATGAAATAATGTTTTGCTCATGCAGCTCTCCTCATCTACAGTCAGCTGTTTTTCTGTTTGGTGTCTGTCTGTAATCCAACTGACTCTAAATGCTTGGTTTTCCTTTACAAGGACCAGAAATAAATGTAACCATGACAACTTTCTCAAAATGTCCAGATTAGGAAAATATCTGAAAAGCTGCACATGCATAAATGTGACTCATACATAACCAAAACCCTGAGGTAAAGCCTCTTCGTGTTTTTTGGTGATTATGTTGTCATTCAAACTACTGTTTGTTGTTTGCAGAGAAATCAGACAGTCCTAGAGTCAAAACAGGCAGAAATCTTCAAATGCTACAAAATAAGTGCCTCCTCTAACGAAAACGAAGAGTCCATCAGTAAACCACCACAGATGCTCCTAGCGGTCTTACTTCTTGATGTGGGCCAAGGCCTTATTGTTGACAAACAACATGTTGGACAGTTTGAGGGTCGTGCTGAGGCCCTTCATCAGTGACTCCACTTCCTCGATGCCTGCCACGTCCCCATGCCTGCCCAGGGCCTGAACCAGTCTGCTAATGGTGAGCTGCAAGGGCACATGGTTCGCCTGCAGCATCAACTTCAGCTCGTCAAGAGCGTCTGCAGAGTGGTGCAACATGTGAGGTCATGTGTATAAAATGAGTATACACTGTGTGTGTTTAGCGCATACATGTTTCTTACCTTTGGGCTCGTTTCTCTTGCTGTGTGAGACAATGAGCAAGTTTCTGGCGAGATCACTCAGCTTGAAGCCTGGCACATGAGACTGAGCACTGAGGAAGATGGAGACAAAACATTTTCTTGGTTGTTATCACTTATACTTCTTATTTCTGTCTACTGGGAAAGATAACTTTTTCAGCTTTAATTTGACCTATATGACAAACTACTGTGGGCCACTATGACAGTAAATACCACAGGCTAAGTCTATTTATGAGACATTCTCAGGTGTCATCAACAGTATTTGATGGGACAGAAACATTTATATTATTTATAGCTTGATATAAGCCTTAACATATGCATGAGCTGAAGTTTTTTTTTTATCTGAGTGACGGGTGGAATATATAACTTCTTACCAGCGTGGGCTGTATACAACTATTAGAAAGTCTATTATTTGTAACTTTAAAGCTGGTATTGTACCAGCAGCTTGTCTGAAAACTTTTGCACTTGTCCTTTAAAATGCATCACATCTAAAAAAAAAAAAAAAAAAAAAAGAAAGTGAAATTTTTACTCAAAATTCCTCAGTCTTCTTCAAACATGATCGAAATCCATTCTCCCATGCAAAATGTCGTGTTGTTTCCTGCTGCGCTCCCTCCCGTGTGATTCTGTATGGTATTATGTGGGAAGGGGAGGCTGGAACAGACTGCAGGACCGAGGCCTCCGGGAACCGCTCCCACTCCTCATCACTTCTTCCTCCTGACTTCACCTCCCTCACTCTGTCTACTCATCTCTTTACTCTCCCTTTCAGCCATGCTCCTTTTCATTCCTTTGCCACTAAAACCTCAATCAAGCTTGCCTCCCTTTTTTAGTATTATTATAGTCCTCCAACCAGATTAAACCATCCACTCAATTGAGCATCAGGCCAGCAATCCTCATTGCCGTGGCGACACCAGGCCAAGCAGCATCTGGCAGCTGCTGTGACAGGGTCATGGCGGAGATTGGAGCTGTAACAGGGTCACCGACGGATTGCCGTGCAGACCGAGGGGTGGGGGCGCAAGGTCAAAATTATTCTTATGGGGTGGGAGAAAATCTCTAGAGGCAGTCGCTCACTCACCTCATCTCAGTGCCACGGTCTCTAACCTTCTCCTTTATGGCTACTGTGCTTTAGCCACTGAATCCATCATCTTCCTCTCTCTTCATCATCACTCTCAGCCAATTTCTTAATCTCACCATAAGCACTCCGCTGCTCAATCCTGTTCAGATTACCCCAAAACAAACACACTCTACCCACACGCACTGAGAATTAATGCCTGTAGCATCTTCATTAACCCTGTGTATGATTAAACCTCGCCCTCCTCCCTTCCTTTCTTATTTAGCTCTTTATCTCCTTCCTTTCCCTGCAATTTCCATCTTTTCCCAACTCTCCTCGCAGCTCATTTCACTTCTCATTTAGAGTGCATATAAACTAAGCTTTTATCCAGACAGGTATGCCATAAACCAATCAAAGCCTGGAGATGGGTTATCACTTCTATTGCCTCGCACTTGTTAGAACACGGGCCCAAAGTTGATACGATTATTTCTCATAACATAAAAGAGCGACCCATGCCGAGAAACGAAAACACGGACGAGACTGATTGTGTAATAGACGTTTTTCCTTCTCTGCTAATTATTGACTACATCTTTTCCTTCTCTGCTAATTATTGACTACATCTTTTCCTTCTCTGTTTTTCTTCTGCAGAAAAAATGATTTTTAAAACAAAGGGGACAAAAGAAGGTAAAGAAAAAAGGAGGAGATTATGTAAAAGACAAAGAGAGCAGAGGAGATCAGCGTCTGTTCATTTGTCTCCAGGCTCAAGCCCTGATATGACCCTGTAACTACATAATACATTACCCACTTCCCAGAAAACCAAAATTAATCTGTATATCTGAGTGTGTGTGTGTTTCCTGGGGCTTAGTAAGAACAACTGTTCATATCTAATGTATTCATTGTGTTAGTACACAATCAGTTCATAATCCTCATGTCTACTTAAGAGATGTGGTTTTAGTCCGAGGTGCCACAGGCGGAGGAGACCAAAAAAGTAGCAGAGCATTAATCAATTAAATTAACAGGTCGAGTTTGGCAGTTTTTTATGTTTATAATAAAGATGCGGTGCAGTCTTTCTCCGCTAAGGGTAAAAAGTGCTCAATATTGTAACAACATGATGTTCTGAACGACAGCTACGTTCATATTACCTGCTGTGACCCAAACTCTCAAGTGACTCAGATCTGATCTTTTCGCAGATGTGTGAACAAATCAAACCAGATCTGGGACACTTCAATATGTGGTCCTAGATCCGATTCACATCTGACCTCTGACCATGTGAAAGCTCTCAAAACGCTCAGATCTGAGCTTGTGTGGATTTATTTTTTTACATCTCTCGCCTCTGCTCATATCGACTGTCGTCATCATTCAGTGTCGGCCCCTCACAGACGGAGAAGCGAAGAAACTTTTGGTCAAACCTACTTAAATATTCTGTTTATTCCTGGTATCATAACTTGGAATAAACACATTTTTCTCTGTTTTAAAAGGTTTTATTTGCAGCTGTCAAATCAGATGTTAGGTCACTTACATGTCCTTGACTGCCATGGCGTCCTCAATAAATCCTTTGGACAACAGGGCACGGATCACAGAGTCATAATGGGAAGGGCCTAATGCCACACCCTTTTTATCAGCTTCCTTCAGCATCTGATAGGCTTCTGCAGAAAGAACCAAAGAACGAGGGAAAAACAGAAGATGAGTAAGAGGATGGACGAGATGAACAACAGAATTTGAAATAATCACCATTGTTTTCAACATAATACAGGACACAGGTGATTTACACATCACTGTTTTCCTTTTCCTTTACCTTTTCTGATTTGGTGTTGTATCTTAGATTTCAGACTTAAACCCTACAGACCTCAGATGCTTCAAGTATTTCCAAGCAACATCCCATGTGTTTTAATTCAGCCCCATGTTATGAGAGACTACATTACTGGAGCCTCCTGCTGCTTACCTTTGACTTTGTCCCCCTTACAGAGGGCCAGCAGACGGACCTGGTACAGATTATCATTGGTAGCTGTGGTGGGGGCTGTTGCTGACGTCACCTGCTCATACCAGGCCTGCAAATAACACACACACACACACACACACAGAGAAATCAGTGATAAAATGTACTTGGGTGTTTCTATCAGAACACAACTACATCCAGCATTTGAGCTTGTACACAACTGTGTGCTGGCGACAAGCTGGTGTGTGTGTGTTATGTGACAGTGCAGTAACGCTGGGTAGGCAGGGCAGACACCCTAATGCTTGTTCACCCATGATGCAGTGAGGGGAGGGGGTTAAGTTGTACTGGCTAGGGGTAAATTAGGTCTGGCACCCTGGGGGGGAAGTGTGTGTGTGTGTGTGTGTGTGTGTGTGTGTGTGTGTGTGTGTGTGTGTGTGTGTGTGGGGGAGGGGGGTTGCTGAAACAAACTGTTGAGGCCCTGGGGTCGCCCAGTTCATCGCTCTAGGCGACAGCAGTCGCTTCCTGTCTCATCACACTTTGAGCCATTTGAGCATGCTCACAAAGAAAAGTGAAGGAAAAATGCGCCGAGGAGGAACTGAGCAACATAATGCAAAGAAACAGAACATTAGTGAGCTAGGTGTCCCTAATAAACTGCCAGCTCGGCAGCAGCCATATGGTGGCATTTGGCTGCTGGCTAAATTAGTCTGGCATTACAGATTTACAGACAGATCAAGCTGTAATTCCTTTCACCAGCCAGACGATCTGATTGACCACACATCAGGTCAGAGCTTCAATCCTGTTTCCTCTGTATGTAATGAACAGAGGCTTAAAGTGCAGCGGGGTGGAGCTGTACAGAGAGAGCCACTGATAAGGGGGTTCAGAGGTTGGGAGGTGTTAGCTCCAATGACCAGACGCTGGGGTCAAGATGCTCTTTGGTTAATCAATTCCATATGAAAATAACTGGGAATGAGGCCATTTATTTTAAATGATGCTTGTATCTGTGGATCCACTTTTCCATATACAGAATATACTGGAATTTCACCGTACAGGGCCACTATTGCTGCATATATATTAGGAATTACAGGGTCCTAGCTGTCAGTTGTTTCTGTTTTTATTATTTTATTTCTTATCTATAGTTGATCTCTGTTTGTCTTTATATTTTTTACTTTGTGAGTCATGATTTGCAGCCTGGCTTCTGTAACCCTGCAATTTCTCATTGCAATTTAATAAAGTACTTTCACTTTGGATTTTTGAGAAATGAGTTGCAGCATCTTTTATGTTTATTTTATCAAGCACACCTAACATTCATTTATTGTAATTTACAATAGTGGCTATTATCCATTGATCTATGCAACATCAGAAAATAGTGAGAAATAACCATCAAACACTCCCAGAGCCCAAGGTGTCTGCTATAAATTGCTTTTTTGGAGCTTCCTGCTCTTTGCTTTCAGACCTACCTGCTTCGCAAGAAGCTCATGGCAGTTATTCTTCTGAATATCTAATCACACTTATGAGCATTCGAGGGACGTACATACAATAAGGATGGGGGTTTTTACCTCAGGCAGCTCAAAGGGTACCTCCTGGCCATTATTTCTCAGGATCTCTGCTAGCATATGCAGGGTCCTCTCTCTGGGAACGATGTTCTCCTCCTGCATCTTCATCCACACTGCCTCTGCCTTCTGCCAGTTGTTTGTCTCCTCTGAGAAGAACAGGAAACAAAGCAGTGGGAATGAGACGAGGTGCATCCTTATGTAATGTGTTATAAAACCATGACACACAGACAAATGTGGCTGTGCAGTCAGTCCACATCGGTTGTAGCCCCCTGCTCTGCCTGCACCACAGAGTAATTTCTGACCAAGCACTCCATGCTGAGAGAGGGCAATCAAAGCACTAATCTGATCAACTGGCTGACCCTCAACTATGCTGTAATTTAGGAAACACCAACTAGTGGTGTGTGCGTGTGTGCATGCACATGGGAAGTGGGGGTAATGGATTGACAATCAGCTTTAACACTTCAATCACTGCTGTTATCTGCTCTGCTCTCCACTGCAGCAATCATACCATGTCTTCTTACTTTTGACTGATCCCTTTCTCAACCCCCCCCCCCCCCCACACCCCACCCCACACACAAGCACTGTACTCTCAAAAGCGCACCCAGAGGTGAGAGGTCACGACAGCAGAGGGGACTTGGGGTCAGGCTGTGTTCAGACTGAGTTTCAAAGGTGTGAAAAACACAGCGCTCCCCATTCATTTCTACGGGGGACTGTGTTCACCGCAGCGTTTTTACCGGATCAGTCTGAACGTCCACTGAGTGTGAGGGCAAACACAAACTGAGAGGAAAAAAATAAAGGAATCAACAAACAGACAAATGAAAGAAGGAATGACTTACTGCAGAGACGGAGGAGGTAACTGTACATCTCATCTCTGTCGCACTCAAACAGCTTGGCTGTCATGTCCACCATCTCCTCCAAGGTCTCCATCTATTCACGTCAATACATAGTTGGAATTGCTGTATTTTCACTTTTCTTTTTGCATTCTTCTCTGTGGCCTTGATCAGCTCAAGCTGTCTCTGTGTGTGTGTGTGTGTGTGGCTTACCTGGTTGGCAGAAATGCATTTCTCTGCGTACCACTGCAGGCGTCCAGGCCTTGCCCTCAGCCCAGGGGTCTACAGAAAGAAAAGCAGATGAGAATTTCTAAGCAAAGAAAGTAGAGAATAGATAAATAAACTGTAGCTGCACTGAACATCTCCCGGGTGCTGTCGTATGAAACTGCTGAAAATGATTCGGTCTGCTTGACAAACTCAGAGCGCACACAATTAAAAAGATAACAGTGGTTTATTTTTAATTTGCATTTCTCTCCCTGCTGAATTTAAGTGTTGTCACTGTGCTCTTGTTTGTATTACAATATTATCAAGGACTGAAATGAGGTCAAACCGATGAAAACAGGCTGCAATAAACAAGAATGATCGTTTACATCTAAAATATGAAGACCTCTTAATACTGTAAATGGTGATATCTTCACACTGACAAGAAGCACAACGGGCTGAAAAATGCTATTTATTTAAGACTCTAAATGGCAGTAGAGCTACAAATAAATCCAACAACAGGACTACGTAACTTAGTTTTTTGTTGTTATTATATAATTTACAGTGGGGGAGGGGAGGGAAGAAATCTAGACTGCTCAGTACACTTGCTTTAAATGCTAAATTACAGGCCAAAAAAAAAAAAATTCATTAAAATAATAAGATGAAGTTAAAAACATACAGACTATAAAGTCCCAACAGCCCTAAATAATCCTTACTTTTTGGGAGCTCTGTTGCACTTTTAGGACACCTTTGACATGCAGTTTGACAGAGTGTGAGCTGTCAAAGGCCGACACAGACTGATCTGCAGGCTTGTGTAGCAAAGATTTAGCCCGATATGTGGCATGACTAGATGATTATTATCATAGAATAACAGTGATCAGGGTTTCATCTGTCTCCTGGGGCTTTGATACAATCTGAATAAGAAAAAAGAAATCTCACCCTCCCCCTCTTCCTGGTAATCTGGCTGAGAAAAAGGAGAGACAGAGCGATCTGCCAGGAAGTTAATCTGAGCGGGGATCAACAACGCTCAATCCCCGCTGGCCTCTTTGATGGGAGCCCATCATACCGTGAAAGGGAGGGGGAGTCAAGAAAAGATGGGCTTCATCCCTTCCTCTGTCAATCCCCACTTCTCTCAATCCCTCTCTCTTCCTCCAAATCTCCTGTGCTCCTCCTCAGTCTTTCCATCGCTCCATCCGTCCCAGGCAAAGGAATTATGTTCTTATCCAACCAGCCAAAGGGACAAATTAAAATGTGTTACACTCATTCTCTCTCAGCCTGTCTAATCTTCTTAGAGACTAAGGCCCAGTGCAAGTGGTCCATCGTTTTGCCTCCGATTCCTTTTACTTGGTAAAGTCTTGTGGGCTCAAACCAAGCTTTGCACATCTACTCACAAACACACGTTTGGGATGTTGAATCTGTCCGGACAAATCACCCTAATCTGGGTTGAAAACTAAATCCTCTGAAATAAAAACAACACAATTAAAAACAAAAAAACACAACACACTCTCACTTTCCACAAAAGATCATGGTAAAATGTCGACTAGGTCAGATTGTCGGGACAATCCTCTGACACCCACGCAGAGCAGTGTATTATAGACCATCACTTAGCCTCGACAAGTCTCTTGTAGCCTTTAGATGCTAAGACATCTTTTCCTTACGCTCGTGTACACAAAAAGAAAAAGACAGAGCTGACCTCATCTCACCTCCACTTAACAAACCCTCTCCATCTCAATTCCTAATGTTATAATTCCACTAATCACCTGGCCACTTAGTCCACACACCTCTCCCTAACACAGAAAACACATAATGGCTCACCACTCTTTAGCAACACTACCTAACCTTGACCATCGTACATACACGTGCCGCAATAATAGGCCCAACCACCTGACAATCCTCTACCTAACATGACCATTTAGCACAAAATTGGGCACCTTTCTCTATCATTACATTTAATTAGCTGTGATTAATCAGCTGCCAATTATACCAAACACAGCCTAAAGAGAGACACCATTCCAGACTGCCACTTGACGCTCTCACAGGCGGGAAAGTATTTGTGTGTTTGACTGTGTATTCATGTTTGAGTGATAGATATGACTCTATTGTAGTTGTATCACCTGAACACTACATCCATCGTCGTGCATGTATAACACACGACAGTTCAGAAGGGGACTTTTTGTTCACAGACTTTTATACTCCAAGTACAGGCAACCTACTAATCTGACAACGCTAGAGAACTGATCACGCTTTGACGGTGTAATAATCATTATTATATTAACAGTGGATGAAATTCTCATGTGTAATGTGAAAGGAATGAACCTACAGTAAACTACTGACTGACTGCTGTTCACCTTTAACAAACAGTTTTTAAATCATACAACTTTACTGTTTGGGTTCACTCACTACTCTCATCAGCATCATTTCGAGCTGCAGCAGGCAGGTGTTTTCAGCGCCGCCTGCTCAGCGCCACACAGCAGACGGACACAGTTAGTGGCTAGCTGGTGAACATAGCGAAGCACTTAGCACTTAAAGAGCCAAATGTTTCCCTCAGGAGTAGATAAAGACCAAAAATGGAGCTAAAGAGACTGAATATTCTTACAAAAAGCAACTGCATGTAGAAGAACGAAACATCTTTCTGATTACAAGGTCAAAATTAAACCAACTGTCCATGTGAATCGCCAGGTACAGTACATACAATAGCTAATGTAAATTCTAAAGCTGTCTATTGACAAATGAATATGCTCCATCCATTTTGCATCATTGAAAGATCTGAAGGTTCAACCTCCCACTGTGACACAAGGAGTGAAGCAGCTGCATCACTCTAACCTTCATCTTGTACATCTGTAGTCTGTTTACAAAGCATCTCCAATCTCGCGTAGCATTTGCGTGTAGCTCCCTCTCTGCTATAAGTAGGATAACATCAATACAATCTAGCAGAAGGGGTACGAGAGCCGTAAATAACATGTCAATTATATTTAAGAAGGTTTGGAAATCATCAAAAGGGACAAATCCTTCTTTTAGTGCACATCAGGACACGAGAGAGGGAAGCATCACAGGGATGTTAAGGTGTTTTTTACCACAGTTTTGTTCTCATCCTGATCAGATGACAACCAGGCTCATCCCTTTATTCATTTATCTGTCAATCTCTCTGCCCTGCTATCCAGTCCCTGACTGCCTGTACATTTGCTTTTCTTTGTCTCACACTAATCTACAGGGCTTATAGCAGGACTTAAGATAACAAAGACACATATTCATAAAATATTCAGGTCAAATGAGCTACAATGACAATTCCATCCAGCATGACAATCGGGCAGATGTCATCCTGGTTTTAATTAACAATTCTTCATTTTTATTTAAGATCTGCAGATGATTCAAATAAAGAGATGAGACCTAGTCAATACTATAAGAAAAACTTAATCAAAATCTGACCAAGCTAACATTTGTTACGTGACAGTTTTCCAGTCTCTGTTCTACAGTCATGAAACCCTTGGCAATCATCAGGTAATCTATTAGTTGAAGCAGATGAAATGGTTTAATAAAAGAAGCTCCAACATTCAAGTCACTTTCTGAAAACCTGAATTATTCTCTTCAGGAAGAAACAGTGTCAGAAAACATAAGCGGCCTCTCATAATTCCTTTGTATGTGTTTACCTCAATGATCTTACGAGCCTCACGGTAGCGGCCTGTCTGCAGGGATGCAAAGAACAGATCCCCTCGCTCCTGACTCACAAAGTCCATGACTGAAGAGGAAAACAAAGAGAGAAAGATGGGGAAACAGAGCAGAGAAAGGCTGTGAATAGAGGAAATCTGTGCAAGGTGAACAAATGTAGCACACACTCCATCCTTTCCTCCTGATTCCATTATTTGGCACAATGTCCCAGGCACAAAGCAACCATATCACATCTGCTTTCAAACAAACACGTCCCAAATGAAAGCCTAAGCTCTCCTGGTAAAGTTGCTAAAGTGCTCTGCTCAGCACTATGCCCTATCTCTGCTCAGCAGCTTCAGGACAGGTACTACACACACAGAGCATGTTTTCCAAACAGACATGCGTTTTCAGCAAATCAGAGGAAGAAAGAATAATCCCACTTCCTGTTCAAGTCAATAAGGACAATGAGGGGTGAATTTTAATCATCCAGAAATTAACTGGTAGTTTAGATTTAATGTAGACAAGTTTTTGTATGAGCTGTAATATTTTTACATGCAATGTCCAAGGAAGTTGGTGGATATATGAACCACGTCAGCTCATTAATAGCATTAATTAAATCACGCTCTCTCTTCCACGTCACAGGTTTGAACTCCTCTGCTTAGGCCACTTCACACTTGAACGCCAATGAATCGGACTTTTCCGAGCTGCGTCTCCTCACACAGATTGTGTATTTAAAGTAAATTTTCATACTATCCATATGCTGCAACAGCATGGGCTCACAGGAGCAAACCATGGTGCACCAGGCTGCGGTGTGTACTCACAATACTGTCAGTTCGAGTGTGACTCAAGGTTGATGTCTTAAGTCTTCCTTCTCTTCTGCTTTGTATGACAGAGTGGGAGACAATTATTTGCCATTTGAAAATCCACTGGTTGGCAGTGGCCTCTGTCAGACAATCACTGTAAAAGTCATTTTATTTTCTGAGGGCAAAATGACTGACTCTGAGGGTCTGTCACCTTTGGCTGGGGGGCACATAGCTGAAGGTAGGAGGGAAAAGTGGATGAGGGAGTGGGTGAATGGGGGAGGGAATGAAGTGGAGAGGTGCTCCACTGCACAGTTTCAACCTTTCTTGACTCATTGGCACTCCAGAGCCACTTGCCCCTGAGGCACATTGAACTTCATCAATGCTGTCGAACTGCACAGAGACTGTTCAGAATGCGACTGGCCAGCATGCTTCACTGCGACCATGGTGTGAAACTCTCTCATTCTCTGGTCCCCTTACACACTCTTGGAATTGTTTGCATGTGTTGCAGGCACATTTAATGCAAACACTGCAGGAGCACTTTGAATTAGGTAGATTAGAGAAAGTGGAACCAGGAAACTTTTATATTTGTTTTAGGTGGGAAACAACTAGAGTTAATATTCAGGACTGCTGATAAATGTTTTGTTAATTTACTAATTAGTAATAACGCTAGAAAAATAAATCAGAAAAAGATGACTCAGTGAAAAAGTGTGCAGGTTGGACAGACAAATATGTCACCTTTCTGCAGCAGTTCGGTGTCTCCTTTCTCCACCAGCCCAACAAGGACGTCATGGATGCGAGGCAGTTGCTTATAGCGCTTCATACACTCCATTACTGCCTCGACAGCGCCGGACAGGTCCTTACTGCAGAGAGAGGGAGAGAGAGCGAGTTAGATTGTCAGATTTGTCCAATCAGCCATGTACAGGATTGTGTGGGTAGAGAATAGAGAGTGTATCATGGGGTGTTAACCCTGTGACCTCCTATTCTAGCACTATGACCCACCACAACAATACAGGTCTCTGAATTCATGACAGCACAACTGTGGGTGATGAAGCCTTTTGGCCCCAATATATCATTCTCACACAATCAGGCACACGCTCACACACACACACACACACACACACACACACACTTGACTGTGAAGGGCTAATGTCTTGCTGGACAGGCTTTTATTGAGGAAGCAATGGAACAGACAAAAGGGCTCGACTGATCTTTACCCTCTCTGCTCCACTTCTCTTGTACCTTCCAACTTCTCTCCATCTCTCTCCTCTTTTGTCCTTCATTTCCCTTTTCTCCTGATCTTCTCTCTACTCTTTCCACACAACCTTTATTCCTTCCTTCTCATTTTCTCCTTCTGGTTCCATGCTGTCAGCTCTCACTCCCCTACGATGACCTCGGCCCCCAGCTGAGCATTTTAGCTGAAATATGGCAACAACACAACAGCATTACCCCCCCCCCCCACCCCCCGAAAGGCTCACTGCCTTCGTCTCATGCCATGCTCCTTTCCCATCATCAACCCCAACACAACATCACCATCCCCCTCGGCCCATCTCTCCAGAGCAGACGAACAAACAAAAAAGCGTGTAGAGAGAGGATGAGTGCACCTGATGGAGTGATAACGACAGAAGTAGAGAGACAGTAACGGAGAAAGGAGGCAAGAGAACGAGAGGCTTAGAGAAGGCGGAGGGAGGGAGACCACTTGAATCCCCTTTATTGTGACAGAGCTGCCATCAATCTGTTGATTGGGTAATTATCATGTCAGTCACATAGAGGTCAAGGCAGATAGGGCACCCAGTGGGGGAGGTAGGAAGCAGAGTGAGTGAGAAAGACAGAGCATTTGAAAGAGAGATTGAGAGGAAACAGGTATAATCTCTGAAGTGTTTCCGCCTCTAATCTATTAGGAAAGTGAATAAACGAAATATGGCCAACAATATGCAGACAAATAAAAAAGAAAAGACAGGAAATGGTTCGACCTTGAGTTCAGCATCTGTGAGACAGGAGCAGAAGGGAGCAATGGAGGGAGGAGGAATGGAGTGATTAGGGTTGGAAGGTAAAGAGGTCCGCTAATTGAAATAAAGAGGCACAACATTGTTCAGCTGCGCCAGTCAAGAGGCTGTTCAACCGCACAACAGTCTGACTGAACAACACAGAAGAGAGACAA